TAAGAAAATAACTTTAATTTGGTGGGGGAGGAGCTCTCCACCACAAAACTCAGATTTTGCTGCGCCCAAATTATATTTACTCCCAGAACATTCTCTGACGGCAGTTCCCTGGCATAAGCACTGGATTTTCTTACAAAACTCCTTGAATCCTCAGTCGTCAGTATGAAAGTTGCACTGCTGTCTCCCTTGTTCACCTCCCCGGTGCATCATGGGTCTTTCTCTGGCTGTGCTGAGCCTCAAACAACAGAATCCCAAGGACCAGGAGGACCAAGCCAGCCATGGCCATCCTGATGAGATTCTCCACTGTGTGATCCTGGGGTTGTGAGGCTGTGGTTGTGGAAAAAGAGATGAAGGTAGACCAAAGTCATCTGAGGATGACTGCATGTCAACACAAGGTACTTGTTACCCCTGGAAAGGACCCGATCCACTGTGTCTAGTTCCATGACTAAGGTTTGTCTTTTTTTAACCTGTCTTGGGTTTTGGCATGTTTTGTGATGGACTAGGGATCTAAGCTGATCCTAAGAACCTTGGAAAGGACCCGATCCACTGTGTCTAGTTCCATGACTAACTAAGGTTTGTCTTTTTTTAACCTGTCTTAGGTTTTGGCATGTTTTGTGATGGACTAGGGATCTAAGCTGATCCTAAGAACAAAGGAAGTGTGGTATGATATGTGAAGGGCTTAAGGGACTTGAGTGTTTTCCCTGAATTCCTCACTCTTATTTCCTGTAAATGTGAATTATGTTTTATAAAATATAAACACTTTCACTGCTGTACCCAGTTTATCTCTGGCAATTGCTTCTGGTTCTTGAGACCCACTGTGCGAGTTCATAACTACATCTGAGTCCCTTTAGCATAAAGTTTATTTGAGCAGTGAGAGCTCAGGATTCGTGAGAAAAATCACTCCCAGTTCGTAACTAATGGAGCCCTTACACACTCTCTGCTCAAACTGGGATTCAAGGTGATGGAAGATAATTCCCCTAGAGATGGGTTTCCACAGATTCACTAGCTGAGGATCCAGTATCCAGAGAGAGGGCTGCTCCTCATTGGCAATCTGGGACTATCTCCCCTGTATCCAGTTTATTCCCAAGGTCTTCCATCATCCATTCAGCAGCTCATTAACAAATCATCACAGAGTTATAAACACCTCCAGTGTAACCCACAAAGATACATAAATTCAAACACTCATATATATGCGTATGTTTCAATGTATGGTGATGTAAGTCTACACAGAGCAGCTAATAATAAATGTCTATAAATATCCTAGTTGGACAGTATTAGTGGGGATGGATTTTTGTAAATATAAGAACATACTAACATAATACATGTATTAACATGTGTCCATGTATCTATTTATATAGCCTATGTAATTGCTGACATAAGTATTTGAAGTGAGAACTACTGATGTGCAGAAAAAATTGTTTTTATGGAAAATGGATGCCACAAAGCACCATCACCTTAAACCCAATAGATAAGACTCAGAACAAGCATCGCAAGGTTAAAGCCTGAATTTTATACAGGTACATAAAATAAAACACATGTGTTATATATATGTCTCCTATATATGAGACTTTGAAGAAGAAAGGAGACTCTTTGGGCGAGGAAGGCGAGTGATGGAGAGTAAACACGGTAAAAGTACATTATATACTGGAGTTAAAATGTCTCTATGAAACAGGTGGAAAGCCAGAACTAGATTGAGAACTATTGGAGACTGATTGCTGCTGGGTGAGGGAGAGTATGACTTACACATGATCAGTAAGTAGATGGGCTGACTAGACTCCAGTAGACAAATTCACACTGAAGGACATTTGGGTACATGCCTGAATGAATAGGTCTTAACATGTATTGAAGAATACATGAGGTTCGGTAGGGGGGGTGAGGGAGGCATGGACGGGGGAGGGGGTCTTAATTTGATTAAGAATTGTTCTATGAAATTACAAAATTTCAATAAAAATATTTTTTAAATGTCTTTATGAAATTCTTCACTGTGTACAATGGATGTGTGTCAGTTGAAATAATTTATTTTTATTTTATGTGTATGAGTGTTATGCCTGCAAGTATGTACGTGCTCCTGTGTTGTGCAATGCCTGTGGAAGACAGAAGAGGGTCTTAGGTCCCCTGGAACTGGAGTTACAGACAGTTGTTAGCTGCCATGTGGGTGCTGGGATTCGACCCCGGGTCTTTAGCAAAAACAGCCAATGCTCTCAATAGCTGAGCCAACTCTCCAGTCCTAGTTGAAATGACTTTAAAGTGAAATTTTTATCTTATTACAATTGATATGATTTTTACCACTAAATAAAAAACATGGTCTAAAAATAGTTGGAAAGGACAGATCCCTATGTAAACATAAAATAAGCTCATATATCCAAATCAAGAAGTTTCTTATGTATGCTTCTGAAAGATATATCAAGTATTCAAAGACCTTACGTACACATTATTAAAACACTTGGAGAATTCATAAATGTTTCTACGAATGTACATATTTTAAAAACAAAATTGCTTTTGGGTCCATTACTAATTTTCCATGTAAAGGAAAAAGATGATATTAAAACAGAATTATTCTACATAACTGATGCATAACTGTGATCCAATGTTCTGAAGACACTAGCAAACATACATGCTTTTAAAATTAAAAACTGTGTATCTTAAATGAAACTTCTTCAAGAAAGTATTTTCTGCAAACTTGCAGAGAAAACACAAGAATACACAAGCCAAAACAGAAAATGCAGAGTAGAAACAAATTGTCTTGCACAAAAGATGCACTGGGGCAGTGATCTCCAAGTCACTGAAGTGAGCAGGTGTGTGCCCCTCCTTATCCTCACGTGTGAACTCACGTGGAGCCCAGGTGAGCTCAGCTGAAGCCAGGAAGAATGGCACTTACAACCTGGGAACCTTCTCTCTAAAAGAGTGTGTCTTCTTGGGTAACAGCTTCCCCCCAAATCAGATCCTACCATGATCTGAGTGGCTTCCTGCCCCACTTTTGGAGGACCCAGTGACCACCTAAGTGTGGATAAGGGGCTGAGTCTCAGAGTCTCACAGAAATGACTCCCAGCTCTTCCTTTCTCCATCAGACCTAGAATCTTCCCTTTGTCCAAGTCAGTATGGGAACCACGTCCAGCTATTTCAGCCTATTTTTTGTCTTTTTCTAAAAAATTGCTTTTGAAAAGTTGCATCAAGGTGTGCATGTATGGGGGTGGGTCTCATGTGGAGATTTGAGTAGATGTGACTCTCAGAATACAATCTGAATGATACTTTTGTGTGATACATGAAGGGAATGGATTTCAAATCAGTAAAGATTTATCTTTGATGTTTCCATAGCATTATGGACTGATAGGTAAAATGCCATGCATCAGCCCAACTCCTTGGATTTTTTTATTCTCATGAGTCACAGTGATTGAGAAGAAACAGGATAGGCCATAGAGGGTAGGCACTGAGCAGGTTTAGGATGGTCACACCCTGGAATCTCCAGGTCTAGGACTGGTACACTGTCCAATCCCCAAAGATCAGAAATGCAGAGTCCGCCCCATCCCCCTTGTTCAAATGGGGGCATCCCAGGCAGGAGAGAGAATACATTCTCAGCTGTCAGCTTCCAAGAAGAGGCTCAGCTAACACAGACTCAATTCTGTATGTTGCCCTGAAGGTGGAGGTCACAGAACTCATGAAGAGTTCTGCCTAGTCATGCTGAGCTATGATTTTGGATTTTTGATACATAGGAGGCTCAATTGCTCCTCTTTAAAGAGAAGGAAAATGTCAGTCAGTCTCTGTGATTAACAGCAGGGACTCCCTCTGGTGGGGGACACTGTGGGGTCTGACTACACTGAGACGGGAGGTTTAATGGGGACCTTACTTCACACACCCTTCATTCGCCTTGTGACCTTCTCAAGACCATCATGCTGCTCCCCTGGAACCTTCTGGATTCCAATGAAGAGAATAATATGGACACTGCTTGAGGAATCCCTATTGGCCTCCACCTCACTGAAGGGTGGACCCCTCTGAATGACCCTCTCTAGGGCTCCCTCACTCCGATCCCTTCAAGAATTCTCTAGAGGGCAGGACTCTGAATGCTTATGACCTCAGAGAGTTCAAGTCAAAGTCCCCTCTGGAGAGCTCCATGTGGGCATTGGAATGGGACAGCAAGTCCAGCCTCACAAACCATAGCACCTGTAGGTCCCTCAGGGCTGAGGTCCCAGGCTCATGGAGCGCTCTTGGTTTTGAGGTGCCTCAGCCTTTTACAGAAGCAAAGTATGTTCCATTATTGACACCGCAGGGTCATGTACTCACCTGAGGACAGCATGGACCCCAGCTGCACTGAGAGGTAGGGTGTGACGGAGCTGTCCTGCAGAGAAGGATGCGTGAGTGCTGCCATCTTGTTCTGAGCTGAGACCTCACCACGGCCTGTCTCTAATTAACTGATTCTCCTGTACTTTTTTTTTTTCTGACATGGTGCCTTCTTCATGGTCCTGTCTCTGTATCAATTCCTTCCCGACACCTCCCCACCTCTCATCCTGGCCATCACATCTGGGGCCCTCAGGCAGGCCTCACAGAGGCTGTTCCTTCACTGGACCTTCTGGGAACCTCCCATAGGATCACCATTTCTATCACCGCCAACCTCACAGGAGAGACTCTGCAAACTATCAGTTGTACTGGTCCCCACGGGAACTACTCATGAAGCCCAGGGCAAAGTTAAATTTATTGAAGCCCACCCTGGAAATGCAGACCAGGGCTCTGAGAGAGGTTGGATTGTTCATCCTTGAATAGAGTGAACCTGTTGAAGCCAATGTCAGAGCAACACTGGAGGGTCAGGTTCTCTGCTGGGACCAGGTCATGCCTGGGTTGGCAGGGAGATCTTCCTGCCCAGCCCTTGAGGGAAGACTGGCTATGGAGGAAGAGCTGGTTTCCCCTCTTCCTGAAGTTGTCACTACCCTCCTGGAACTCCCTAGGCCTCATGGGAAAGGTCTTAGATTCTTATAACATTATTGAGGCAATGATGGAGCTTCTTTCACCTGAGATGTGAACTTCCAGGACATTGCTTGGTTCTGACCACACCTGTGGGTTTCTCCTGTAGTAGCCATAACATCTGAACATTCCTCTGTGGCCTGGTGTCAAGGGATCCACAAGGAACAGTGCCTGGAACTGCCCAGGAGAATAGATGTACTGTGAGTCCAGGCATCTGTAGAACTTCTGATCTTCCTTAGTCAGAGTGAACCTGTCATATCCCTTCTGTGAGCCACATTGGAGGGTCAAGTTCTCTCCTGAGGTCACCACAGGGCTGAGCAGCAGCACTGACAGTCTGGGTTTGGGGTAGATACCTAAAATGGAAGGTGAGGGTTGGGATGCTTCCCTCTGTTTCTGTACGTCCAGTCCCACTGTCTTTCATATTGACCCTTACTTGCCCCACACATGTGAAGTCTTGGGTTCAATCATCACAACCAGAAAACAAACGGAAGAGAAAACCCATTCAGTGGGCTCCCACATGGCTATCTAAGGCTGGGCTGTTAGAGGGGGCACACTTGAAAGAAGATACTGAAGGCAGGGCCTGGGGCTGAGACCCCTGATGTCCTCTCACCTGTCTCTACTGTAGGACCCAGAGATCCCCCTCATTCAACCCCTCCTGACACTCCACTGATTGCTCTTTTCAGCTTCTGTGTAATGCTTGAAATGCACACCTGCTGCTACTCCTCCCCTGCTGTTCCCCTTCCAGGAAACTATGGATTAGATAAGCCCAGGTATGAACACTGCTCTATAGAGTAAAATTAAGACTCCTGACCACACAGATGGCCAACACATTCCACAACCCTGAGAACAACACCCGCCAATAAAAAATCTCCACGACCGCACCCTGTACAACTGATCAGTTCAAAGGTGTGTTGGGGCGAGCGGGATTTTTGGGCCAACCACAAAGTGACACTGTTATTCCCCTCCTCCCTTTGTCTCTAACCTATAAAGAGCCCCTTCTTCCCCCACCCCGGGTCTCTCAGCACGGTTCTGTTATATCGGTGCGGTCTGAGAGTGCAAGCTTAAGCCTGAATAAACTATAAACCTTGCTTTTGCATTTTTGGTGTGTTGGGTCCTTGGTGGTCTTCTTGGGGTCCTGTGAATGAGGTATAACAGTATGAGCTCGGGGAAGCTCCCTGCAACAAAATCAGTGGCTGTGTCTGGAACACCACCCACAGGTTCCAGCCCTCAGCCCCAGGACCCTCCAGGCCTCCTCAACATCATACCCGCTGTCCTCCGTCTTCCCTGTCCAGGGGTTTCCCCTTGTCCCCAGGGAGGAGGGGTGATATGGGACGGATGGGTACACACTCACCTGCCAGCACTGGGTTCCTGAGTTCCAGAATCAGCCCTGGAAGAGAGAACCATGTGAGATGTTAATCCCGAAGCCTGAGAAGGTCCTCCCTTTCCCAGAGCATCCTGAGCTTCTAGTGTGCACCAATGGGCAATATTCAGGCTCTGGAATGAAGTCCCTCTGAGACCAGGGTGTTCTTTCTCTGCCTTTGCTTCTTACCAAGGCTGAGCAGGGCTGTGAGGGTGCTGGTCATGGCCTCTCCTCCCTTCACCTTCCAGATGGTTTAGACAGTGCTTTGCCAAATGAGCAAACACAGGGTGTGGCCTTTGAAGCTGGTCCTCCTTCCTGCCATGAAACTATCACTTCATCAAGCCCTTAGGACTTGAGCTGCCTGTCTTGAAAGACTCTTGGGTTGTGGCTTGGCTCTAGAACTGTCTTCCCTTTGTTTCATTTTCTGATAAAGGGCTTCTTAAAGCCCAAGCAGGACTCAAACTCCTGATCGTCCACCCTCTGCCTCCTGTGTGCTGGGATTACAGGCCCACTCTTGGCTGTTAACTGTTATTATAGAAGTATTGTCTCCTTGGGAGTTATCAACACCTTTTCACAATGTCCTGATGTGACCAATGTAGGAGGAAGTGCGGCCTGAACGACCAGCGCATGCGTGCTGCAAACGTACCAAAAACATCCGGCTGAGGCAAACCTGTGTTCTGCCAAAAGACTGACGTGAAAATGGCCTGATATAGAGAGCCAATGAGGAACAGACACGACCTATCAGTGGACCAATGGGATACCAGGAGGGGGGATATAAGGGAGCCCCATATCCGCAATAAACGAGTCTGCAGCTGCTCGCACTGCCTGCTTCTCACCTGACTCCGGGAGTCTGTGTCGTGACTGCGCCGACTCTACCCCACCCAAGAGGTGCTCAAGGGTCCCCACAATAGACCAAGGGCCAGTACTTAGCCCCAAATAGATCTGTTTCCTTCCTGAGCCACCACCTTCCAGGTGAGGTGGGATTTAGGGCTGGTCTTTCTCTATCAAAGTCTCATCACTGGGGCAGTTTCACTCCTTCAACCGGATGGATCCTTACAGCATTGTGGGGTCCTTCCTGTGGGCAGTTGTCTCCCTAGCCCTAAAGAAGTTTGGGGATGTTGTGTCAACATTTCCTAGGAAGTCATTAACAAATGGCTATTCCCCTTGGATGAGACACCAATCACAGAAATGAACATGTTTACATGGTCCAGCTTGCTGAATCAATGAGTTTTATCAGGATTACTCCGAGAAATACGGACTGCCTACTGCCAGCAGCACCTTTCCCACAAGTGTTGAGTGCATCTAGAACCTCAAAGGGGCAGGTCTTGAGAACCCCTCCCTGCCATAAAGGCTCACAGTTATCAGCCTGGTCTTGTTCGGATCATCTAAAGGTTGTCACGGTTGCTGAGAGCTAAGGAGGGCAAGTGTCACGCCGTGTCTGGAGAATGCATTCCACGGCAGGGAAGAGGCAGCTGAGGGTGCAGGGCCTACACAGAGCAGTGGAGGCACCTGAGCACCTGACTGCACTGCTCAAAGGGAGTGTCTGTCCTGGGGAGGAGCACAGAGGAGACACGGAGACAGGAAAGGAGGCATGGCTGTTCTCATGACTCTGGTTTGTGTCCCTCTGCTGAGCAGGTCCCTGCAAGTCCTTCTCCCTCTCACCAGCATAAATCACCTCCGCCTCTGTAGGAATAACCGTCTCAGGCAGATTGTCTCCTCAATACCCTTCTCTTCTTAGAATTCTCCTGGCCATGAGAAATGAGGGGATCGTTTCTACTTACTTCTGGCTTACCCCCCCGCTTTGCTCAGCAACTTGAGCATCATCTTGTCTCAGCCTGAGCTTCCTCGTTCTTATTGGTTGACTTCCTCATTCCTCAGAGTGCTCATGGAGTCAGGGGTAGATGGAGAGGCTTCATCTTGGTTAATTTTCAGACCAGAATATGACATAGATTTGGGTTGTGAAAGGTTCTATGGTTTGGACAAGGAGCCCCCTAAAGCGCCTTTTTCTTCACGGTAGTTGAAGAACTGCCTGCCTTTGAATAGTGGTGGAGTATTTATTCTCTGTGAACCAACCATCCCTGCTCTCAGTGCTGTGAGATCAGTCATACCCATACTCCTACAGGGGTCAGTTTCAGGAGGAAGAAGGGCTGCCACCTCCTTGAGGAATGAGCTCCATATAATGGACTTGCGTTATACACTGTGGTTTCAACAGATGGCTCTCTGAGCCTCTCTGAGGCTGACAGGTCAGATGCTCAGCTGCAGCAGTAGCAGCTTGTCCATGGAGCGAAGACAGCTCACCAGGAACTTGGTTCATGCTTGTCCTCCTTGGTCACCTCATTCATGGTTCACTCTTCATGCATCACAATCGCTGAGCCCACAACTCTGCTGGGCTAGTCATATAAAATCCTACAGGTATGCGGTGCCTGCCCAGCTGTGGACTGTGCCGGTTGCTGCTCATGAACAGGCTTATGATGAGAGGTAGAAATGTCTTTGTCCTGATCCTGTCTTGGTCTTGGGCAGGATCTGTGCCTCCAGGATCCACTTGAGGGTGGAGATCTCTGGGCATGCATGTATGTTGGTTTAGGACAGTGAATGATTTCTGGTCCTTACCCAAGGGAGGAGAGAAAGCGACACAGTGAGAGTGAGAGCAAATGAGCCAAGGGGTGGGGGGAGGCCATTTGAGTGATATTTGTGTTAGGTCGTGAGTTTGCAGGTCGCAGATGGTATTTGTATAGAACCATTGGCCCAGGACTGTTTCATGAATCCTTTCTGGGCTGTCTATGACTTTGTGTATCTACTTTTCTTCCAGCCACTGTGGGCCATCATCTGAATGTGAGAGGCATAGACCCTCTCGCATTCAGTGGTCTAAATCCCATGCACCAGGTATGTGCTGATGTTGAGGAGGACTGGAGGATCCCGAGGCTGAGGACTGGGACATAAGCCTGGGGTGTCCTGGGACACAGCCACTAATTTTGTTACAGGAAGCTTCCCCAAGCTCACACTCAGCAGTGAACCGGGTTCTGTGCTGATCAAAAAGACTCAGGATTTGATGTTTGCTCTGATGGGTTTTGATCTCACTTTGGTGCTGTCTTTCCTCACTGTGCCCCCTTTCCTATATTTTGGACTAGGAATGTGTGTTCAGTGTTATTGTACGTTGGAAGTACATATTTGTTACTTTAAGGAGGTCAAAACTGAAAGGCTGATTTGTGTCTCAGAAGAGAATTTGGACTTTTAAATAGTGTTGGGATTGTTAAAGACTATGGGCACTTCTGAAATTGGAATAAATGCAGTTCACATCATGAGATGGTCATGAGCTCAGGGGATCCAGGGGCAGAACGTGGTGGTGTGAGTGAGAAATGTCCCACACAGGCTCATGTGTTTGAACACTCGGTCCCCAGTTGGAGCTGTTTGTAGAGGTTATGGAACTTTTAGGAAGTGAAAACTTACTGGAGAAATTGTGTCGCTGGGGTACTTTGAGAGCCTCCAGCCTTGTTCCTCTTCCTACTGTTTCTTGTGTGCAGTGGAAGTCTGAACAGCCAGCTGTCCTCTCCTGCAGGCCTGTCATGCCTTCCCTGCCATTGTGGATCCTGTCCCGAGAAGGAAAAAGTTATATTCTCACAAATAACTGTATTCTTTTTTGGAAAGAAATTTAATTTATTAAAGCATGAGTTTGAAACATTTACACTTTACAGTGAAGATTATTAGTATATCCATGAAAATCATCAGAAACCAGGCAGAAATATAATTCATTCCTGAGGCTGACAGTTACCACCATTGTTACCTCCAACAACAGAATAAAAATTCATTGTCTTGATGTGCTGGGCATCTTGTTTATGTGTTTCTTTACTTCCAATACTGCACAACAGCTTCTGGAAATTTATATTTGGAAAGCATGCGGTTGACCGGGCGTGGTAGTGCACGCCTTTAATCCCAGCTCTTGGGAGGCAGAAGCAGGCGGGTCTCCGTGAGTTCCAGGGCCAGCTTGGTCTACATAATGAGTTCCAGGACAGCTGGGGCTACAGGGAGATGTTGTCTCAAAAAAACAACAACAAAAAATCATGTAGCTGAAGTGTTCCTTATTGGGAGAAAGGAAGTGGGTGATTCCTCAAAGGAATCGTCTACACAGCTCAGTATTAACGCTCATGTTGTAACTTCTTCAATATCACACAGCAAAAGGCAAGGCAGAAAGATTTCCTATTGACTCTAGGTTTTTTATTTTAACACATTTCACTAACCACAAAGACTTCTCTGCCTTGCTGAAATTCCTTCTTTTTTTTAGTGGCACTGTTATCTGTGAATGATGGTGGTGATAACTGACAACTATCTAATTGGACTTACAGCCCTCTTAATGAATGGCACTGTAAACAAGCCAAATATGCAGGGCTGGAGAGGTCATAGACCCTAGAGGGAACCCTATCTCTGTCATATCTCTAGGCAAATGAAATTTCTTACCATATGCTAAATATGGATCCTTGTATTTACAGACAAGTATACCGTATACCACTCATCAAAAAACCTTCTTTTTGGCCAGGCGTGGTGGTGCACACTTTTAATCCTAGCACTTGGGAGGCAGAGGCAGGCGGATCTCTGTGAGTTCAAAGCCAGCCTGGTCTACATAGTGAGTTCCAGGACAGCTGTGGCTACAGGGAGAACCTGTCTCAAAAAGACCAAAAACAGAAACAAAAACAAAAACCTTCTTTTTGCTACAGATGGAGGCGACTGCAGAATCCCACAACCAGTCAGTCTGAGAGATGCCCAGTTCTAAGTGACATAGCTACACCTAAGACTCATGGAACATAGCGGAACAGGGTAGAGCGAAAACTACCCTGGAGAGAGTAGATCCTTCAACTCTCACCAGTGAAGCCTCCTTATATAACACAGTGCGATGCACACAAAAGGCCACAACCAGCCAACTTTTAAAGAATGAGACTGCAGAATGTGTGTCCATGGATACTCCAATATCAAACCTCTCCTGCCCACAGCTCAGGGACCACTGAAGAAGAGGGGATGGGAAGATTGTAAGAGCCAGGGTTGGTCCATGAACACAGGGAAGCAGAGGCTTTCAGGCCACTGGAAGCTTGTCATGTGAACTTGTGGCAATGGTGGCATTGAGCATAGGACCCATGCCAACTCAAGCAAGGGCCCAGAGGGGAGTAGAGAAATGGGTGGCAGGCTGATCTTAGGCTGAGAACTATTGGAGACTGATTGATGCTGGGTGAGGGAGAGGACTAGATAGGACTTAACATGTATGGTGGAATACATGAGATCTGTTGGGGGTGGGGTAGGAGTGTATAGATGGGGGAGGGGGTCTAAGTTTGATTAAGAACTGTTGTATGAAATGTACAAAAACAATAAAAATTCTAAAAAAATTAACTGTATTTTTAATATAATATCCTTGTACGCTTAGGCCATTTGAAGTTTCCTTTGTTTTGCTTACTGGGTGGACACCTTGCAGTGGAATCCTGGGATGCTCAGGGATGTTTTGTTGCTCTGTGATATTCTCACTACCCTGAGATGTTTGTTACTCTCTAGTCTTGAAGCTCTGTGATGTTTTCCACTTACCAGGTCTGACTGTTGATAAAGATATAAAACTGAACAATGGAAAGTTCACCAAATAGTTTAATGAGGCACCTAGTCCAATTAGCCCAAGAAAAGTACAGATCAAGCATGTCAGAATTCTAAACTTCTGCCAATGATAATCTATTTTTGTAAAATAAAATAACTGTTTGATCAATTAGCTGTTGCCCCCCCCCCGCGCTTGAACCCCGCTGCTACTGGGAGACCGTTGTGCACTGGCCCCCATCATGGAAAGTTGGGGTGAGGAGAGAGACCAGTGGGGGGAGGGAAGCTTTGGGCAGTGGCAAGTATGAGGGGAAGAAAACACCTGGGAGGCTGTGTCAGCGGACAGCTCATTTATTATGGCAGAAGCAGAGGTTTATATGGGAAAGCTTCACAGGCAAAGAGGCAAGGTTGGGTTTTCTGGCAGGCTGGCAGGTAGGGGGGGGAGGGAGGGGTTTTCTAAGGCTACGTGGCCTTTGTCCTGACCTCCTGGTCACACGATCTACAAGGGACCCAGTTAGGATTAAAGGATTAGAGCCTTAATAGTTTTGCTTGGGGGTTGTTGGGTAACAGACAGTGTATCTAGAATGGAGTGGGCCAGTTTCCTGCCATCCTCACTAGGAGGTATCTGGCCTGGTGGCCATGCTCTACATTCCAGGCACCCCTGACTTATCACAACAATTAGCCTGGCCTAGCTATAGATCAAAAGGCAGCAGATGTCCTGACCACGCTGGGATATTGACTTTGAAACCTATGTTGGCCGAGTGAACCCAGGGAGCCATCTCCTGAGATAACATGGCCCATCATGAAAAGAAACGTAGGGCCCAGTTGCTAGCCATAAAATGATGGCATAAAATCGACTATATAGTCCTCTGGGTTTGGGTCCCTGGAGAATCTAAAAGCCTTTGTTGCTTCTGGGACGCTCATGCGTGAGTGAGGAGTGATGGTGCTTTCGGACTCTCCTGGGTTGGTGCTTCGTTTCTTTACCGTTTGAGGAATTTTTCCATAACAGTCCCTCTGGAATCTGAGGCTAAAATAAACCCTTTCTCCCTCCAGTTGGTTTTGGCTCTGGTAATTTGTCATAGCCACAGAAAATTAGCTAGTACAGTTGGTATAAACTTTAATACTCATGAGGTAATTTGACAGCATGACCCCTTATAACACAACAGTAGCAGGTTGTGCTCTGGGCCTATGACCTCCCTGGCCATGAGATTTTGTCCCGGATTAAAGGAACCAGGTATGAAACTTCCCCCTGTGGAGCAGGCCTCAAGTCAAACCAGAAAGCAGTTAGTTGCCCACAGCAGTCAGGCCCCTATTGCTTCCGTAGGCATCTTCTCAGACAGTCGTTACTACAGCACGCAGGGGCCAACGCGGGGCAAGAACACTGATGCTTTTTCTCCCCTGGAGCCTGCATAGCAACTTCCAGCACTGTGAAGGCCAGCCAGCATGGTGGAACTTTCCAGGTCTGTCTGAGATTGATTTCTCTATGTCCTTAGTCAATGTGTGTGATTTCTTTAGCAATACAGTCTTATCATTTAGTTACTGCGGCCACCAAGGGCAATGGGAATAGCCTGTGCTGTTTTAGAAGCCTCTAGGGCCTCCCGATCTACAACATGTAAGGAGAGGTATCCCAAGCCTTGTACTGAAATTTTCATTTAATAATCCATGTCTTCTTGGGGCAACAGTGTCCATCTATGCAGTGTAATTCCATTTGAACTGTGTTTGAAAGCTGTCTTTTTAAATGATCTTACTAACTAGTGGATAGCATAAGGCTTTTTCCCAGATCCTCACACTTAATTTTTATTAGGTTGTGAGATAGTAGGCATCCACATGGCTTTGGATATCCCTTCCTTTGGGTTAGCCTCCCCTCCACCCCTGACTTCCCTGGTCTCTGCGTACACCTTTCTATTCCCAGTGTTCTACCTCACTACCCGCATTGTCCCTACATCTACTATATTCTCCTGTAATGTGTCCCCCAATGGCCGCTTTCTACTCTCTGTATTCCACTTGTGCTCCAAGTTAAATATTGGCTTATCAAAAAAGATGTGAACCAGGCATGGTGGCACAGGCCTTAAACCCCAGCATTTGGGAGGAAGAGGCAGGCAGATCTCTGTGACAGCCTGGTCTACATAATGAGTTCCAGGCCAGCTTGGGTTACAGGGAGACCCTATCCCCAAAAGACAAAAAATATGAATATGAGAGGGGACCAGTTCAGGGGGAAATGGGGGGATTGGAGAGAGGGAACAGGAGATGATGAGATCATATTTCACTGTTTACATATATGAGATTTTCAAAAATGAAGAAAAATTACAAATAAAGACCTTTATCATTAAACAAAAAAAGGCAAACTTGTTTTCTATTCGAATGTGGTAACAACTGTATCTGATTATGGAATGAGGTGACCTTCAGATCTCAGAACCACCAGATGGTCCACATCGGGGGGCTGAAGATCACTGCTGAAAACCTCGTGGTGGTCCAGGACAGCTTCCTGACAGCTGGAGGTCACTGCTTAGTGTCCAGGTGACATCCTCTGTCACTCCTGATGTACCAATGTCTCAGCCCTCGCAGCCTGAGGTCTCAGGCTTGTCCTGTTCTGATGGGTGATGAAGGCAGTGCATAAAGTGGACTTGGCTGAGGGCTCTTCTTCCCAAGAGGATGGAGGTGTGGTTGTCCTCTGTCTTGCCTTGGAGACGTTCTGCAGGGCATAGGTCACACCCTAGGGGATTGGTATGAAGTTGGGGCAAAGGGAAGCCTGAGGCTGGGAGAACGCAGGACCCACCTGACTGCCTGTCTGCCCCTCCTCTCCTGATGGTCTGGTCTTCATGTCACAGAACTGCTCCAAAGGGAAGGAGGAACAGGAGGCCTCCTTATGTCTCTTTCTGGACACCTTCACGTGGGCATAGACCACTTCCAGAGGACCTTCATCCTTGGGACTCTGCTGGAGGGAGACAGTGATGAGAGAGCTTTACTCCACTCTGACGGGCATCGTTCAGTTCCCACAGGGAAACCAGAGTGAGCACTACAGCACCATCAGCGCAGGTCCTCCCTTAGCAAACATTCCATTAGCTTCACATGGTCTGTCAGAGTGGAGATACCCACAGGACCCAGTTCCATCAGCTTCACACCATCTGTCAGAGTGGAGGTACCCATAGGACCCAGTTCCATCAGCTTCACACCATCTGTCAGAGTGGAGGTACCCACAGGACCCAGCCCTGCCAAGCTGTGCACCTACCTGCACTAACAAATCTGCCCTTACTTATCAACTCCAACGACAACAGACCTTGAGCTTCTCCTAGACAGGGTGAGCGGTTCCTTCCTGAACGTGGCTGTTTCCTGGCCATGAGTTTCTTCTCTGAGCTGCTCAGGGGGTGTTTCTCTGTGTTACTATCCCTGTGCACACACACCTTCTGAGACTCCTCTCTGGGCTCTTCCATTAAGACGTCCCTATTCTTAAGCACGCACCCTCCCTTGGCCCTCACTGCGCACTGCCGGGCATCTGCAAGGCTTCCTGAGCTGCTTCATCACGGAGAGTCCAGCGGACACTGTTGCATCTGGGGGTGCAGACAGTGTTTGGTGCTCCTGTGAGTCCACCCCAAACGCGGCTTTCCAAGAGTAATCCCCAAGGAGCAGTACTAGGGTGGCGCTGAGTGATGGGGTCGCTGAAACAAGCCAGGGATGATGGGAAGCGTGTTCCTCACTCACTCACAAGTGTGTATCATAAACTTAGTAATGCTCAGACACTGTGGACAGAAAAGAACAGCTGGAGTTCTCCAAGGTGTGGGGTACAGAGGAAAATAAGGAAACAGTGACACCTATAAAGAAGAAGTAAGGCAGTGGTCAGAGGGAGTGCAGGGAGGGGACAGGCTGACCTGGTGGCTACAGGCGGACTCTGGGGAGGTGACTGCAGAGCTGAACCCTGCATGACAACATGGAGCCTTCCTGTGACACCCACACACTTCCTGCGTCTGCTAAAGCCTCAGGAAGGTCCTTGCACATCTCCCTTCACCCTGTGGGGCCTCACACACAGCTATCGCGTTCCTTCCTCCTCTGCACTTACCCGCCTTCCTCTGTTTGGGAGTAGCCAGCATCGAAGGAAGAGGAGGAGGAGGACAATCAGGATGAGGAAGGAAAATGGACAGCCAATCAGAACTTTCCAGTTTGTTTTCAGTCCTTGGACACCAGTGACGCCTTGAATGAGGAATGATTTCACTTAATTGAGCGCCTACTGTTTGCCAGGTTTGTGTTGGGTCTTTGTGTTCATTACCTCCAACCCACACTATCCTGAAATATGGAAGGCTGGATTCCATTGATGCCATAGGGTGGGCATTCCAAGATGGAGCCCTGTTGGCCTTCTCCCATCTAACGAGTGGGTCCCCTCAGGGTGACCATCCCCTCTCTCCCATCATAATTTAGAGCTGTTCTGTGAATAGAGTCCCGAGTGACCCTTTGAACAGTAAGAGGCAAGGTTAGGGGCCACTCACCTGAGGCCACAAGATTCAGAGGGTCACTGGCATGAGACAAGAGGTACGGGGATGAGCCCCCAGAACCGTAGCACCTGTAGGTTCCCATTACGTCTGCGGTCACAGCACTTATGAAGAATTCTGCCTGGAACTGCCCGGCTTGGCGCGTTGGTTTTAGACACAGCTGTGGCTGGGCTGCCCCTTCCTTGACAAGAAGAAAACTGCCCACTTGGTTCTGTGACTGACACAGAAGTGTCACGTTCTCTCCTGTGGACACCATGGGGCCTGGCTGCACTGAGAGGGAGGGCGTGATGGGGATCTGTCCTGCAGAGAAGAAGGACGGGTGAGGGGCTGCCCACCTTGTGAGCAGAGACCTCAGCCAGCCTGTGTCTGAGGACCTGCTTCTTGCAGTGTATTCTGACTTGTCTCCTCCCACCTCTTGGTGGTACCTGCCTCTCTCCTCCCATGAAACTCTCAAACACTTATAATGGCTGTCACCTATTTGACTCCCCAGGTAGGTCCTGTGCAGAGTCTGGGACACTGGCTGATGTCCCTGGGCTCCTCACCTGTGATTAAGATATCCAGAGGATCACTAGGAGCAGACAGCTCAGAGGAGACGTTGTGTGCACCATAGCATCTGTATCGACCCCCGTGGGAGCTGTTCACAGGGCCCAGGGGGAAGTCAGCCTGAGAGTCCACAGCTTGGGGCTTCTTGTCCAGATGCTGCCTGAGGTCACGTTCCCCATCTTTGACTACAATGAATCTCCCATACTTGGTATCAGAGAAACACTGGAGGGTCAGTTTCTCTCCAGGGGCCAGGACAGAGCCTTGCTGGGTCAAGAGTGATGGCCTCTTTGACATCCCTGTAGGGAAGATGGGCATGAGACTGAGGAGCCAGTAACTGACCAGTGCTTTGCCCTACTCTCCCTTCCTGCAGGTGTCACTACTGCCTCTCACAATCTGCAGCTAGGGATCAGGAGCCACAAGCTCTGCTCAGCCACTCCAACCTGTGGCCCCCCTGGGAAGCGAGCTCATGGGAAAATGCTTGGCACTAAAGGGCTGCCTCACCTGAGACCAGGAGCTCCAGGGGGTCACTGGGTGTTGACCACACCTGTGGTGTGTTTCTGTCAAAGGTGTAGCATCTGTATGTCCCCGCGTGGCTCAGCGTTATGGGGCCCAGTAAGAGCACAGCTTGGACGCGTCCCTGAGGGAACTGTGAGCTCCGCGTCCTTGAGAATCCTCCATTTTCTCCCTTGACCAGAATGAAGCTTCCAGATCTCTGCTGTGAGGTACACTGCAGTTTCCTGCTCTCTCCCAAGGTGACCACAGGGCTGGATAAGACCGACAGGCTGGGTTTGCTGTAGACGCCTAGGGGAGAAGGAGGCAACCTCATCCAGGGTTGGTCTGTGATGGGGACACCTGTGAGAACAGGACCCCCACCTTCCTGAAATCAGAGTCTGCTGATACACTGAGTGTCTCTCACCTGTCACCACTAGCTCCAGGGGGTCACTGTCAGCTGACCAGCCAGCAGAGCTCCGATAGATACAGTGATACACATCTGCCTCTTGTTCTGTCACTATTGGAATGGTGAACTTGGCCTTGTTCCTGAGATTTTCTTCAGCTGGTTTGCACCAACTTCTTGAATGCCTTTCTGTATACAGTCTGTATGCCCTTGTGGCCAGGGTTCCCTCACACCAGATGGTCACAGAACCCATCCTGGGTATCAGGGAGCCTGGCTCGGCCCAAAGGATGGGTTTTTTGGGTGTCCCTGAAAGGAAATCAGAGGCACTGCCTGAGGACATCTCCCAGCCGTTTTCCCCGGCTCAGTCCCAGTCTGTTCTTCGTTCATTGCCCTCAGCCCAGGCTCCTGTTCTCCAGCCCCAGAGCCAGGGAGGGAGGATGAGTCAGGATACTTGATCTAGGCAAGACTCACCTGCTGTCCTTTGGATGCTCTTTTCCAGACCCAGCCCTGAAAGAGAGTTCCCCATGAGAGGTTTGCACCTAGATGGCTGAGATGATGTTCTTCCCTCAGGGCTAGCAGCATCTGAGCTAACTGGCGTCCCCAGGGAACAGGCAGATGTGGGACCCTCTCCACCTGACCCGGTTTACTCTTCCTGCTCCAAGCACTTACCAAGGTAAAGAAGGATGGAGAGCGTGGAACGCATGCTGCCACTCTGACTGCTGCAGCTTTGAGAGAGGAGACCGCAAGACCCTGCAGAATGGTCAGACACGGAAGTGTGAGGTCAGAGCTGAGCTGCCTGCTGGACTGTATAGCTATGGACCCCGGAAGGTGATGGCCCCTCTGTGGGCCTGGCTCTCATTGGCTCAGTGAAGCACGCAGGATATTCTCAGACAGCAAAGAAGCATCTTAGCTCAGACATGTATTTCCCCCCAATCCAACAATCCTTCCTGTCTGGCCCAAAATCCCTTTACACACGGCGGGACCCAGAATCCACGCACAGTCAAGAAAGACGGCGGGGCTCTAAATATGACTCATATTTTCAAAGCAGCTCCACGAATGGAATTTTAATGTCATTCTATGACAGTTGAGAAACAGATATTTATCGATGTGGTCGGTGACACATTCTGCAGAGAACCCGGGTCTCTTCATGCTCAGCACTGGATTAGCAGGTGGAAATTCTATGGCCAGTTTCCCAGTGAAACACAGAGCACATTGCAGAGCAAACTGCCCTCTCCATCAGCCTCTTATTTCTTCCCTGACTCCTGGTGTTTTGTTACAGCAGCACAACACTGACTGACACAGGCTCCTCCCCATGCTCAGATCTCATTTCCACGTGAAGGTTTTAATCCTAGAGATGTGGTCACTTACAGTAAGCACTCCACTGTGGTTTCTACCTGTTTCACTAAACCGAGGCCTGTTGCTGAGAAATCATTCCTCCTTCCCCATGCCTTTGGCTATCACTAGAAAATGCTGCTCTCCCCAATGTTGTGTGAGATTTTTCTCATACAAGGGTGTTGTAGTTTATTTCTCCATTGCTGTGACAAAACACTCTGACCAATACCAACTTGGGCAGGAAAGGGTTTATTTGGCTTCCATCTCCCAGGTCACAGTTCATCAGGGAGCCCAAGGTCAGGAACCTGGAGGCAGGAGCTGGAGCACAGGCCATGGAGGAACACTGCTTACTGGCTTGCTCCCCTAACCCCTGCTCAACCCGCTTTCTTAGGCAACCTAAGCCCACCCGCCCAAGGGTAGCACCACCCACAATGGGCTGGGCCATCCCATATCACTCAATAATCAAGAAGATGCCCCTCAGACATGGCCACAGGCCAGTCCAATGGAGGAAATTCCCCAGTCGAGGTTCCCTCTACCCAGGAGCATCAAGTTGACACTAAAGCTATCCAGCACAGTGGGAAACATGGCACACGCATCTCGTCACCGCAAGAGAACCTACAGCAAACAAAAGTAACGGTTCTACCCACGTCCAACTTGGTGAGCCAATGAAGTTACTAGGGTTATTTACAGGACTATGGGGGAGGAGTTACTTACAGGAGTAGGGACCACTCAGTTACAACTGCATCACCATGAGGCTGGCTCCAACATGGGTTGAGACTTAACAATGCTGCAATCCTGAGGTCTCTGCACAGCATGCAGGCAGCTCAGCAGGTCTTGTCTTCCAGGATGTGGGGTTGTTCAGTATCGCCTCTCCCAGGAGTTCGTGTTCTCCCTTAGTAACTGTAAGGAAGGGTCCTTCTTGGGTTAGTGACTTTTTACTGTTGTAATGGAACAACATGACCAAAAGCTATTATAGGTAAAAGAGTACATTTTGTTGTACAGTTCCAGAGAATCTACAGTGGTGGTGGAGGAGTAGCAGAAAGGAGCAGGTACAGGGAGCTGAGTGCTCACACCTTGAACTGCAAATGCAAACCATACCTGGACGTGGGGCAAGGCCATAAACCTCTCACAGCAAGCTCACAGTGATGCACTTCCTTCAGCAAGGCTCTGAGTTCTAACACTCCATCACCTCCTCAGAGTCTTCAAAGATGTGGGTGCTGGGATTCAAACCCAGGTCTTCTGCAAGAACAACCAGTGTTCTTAACCGCTGAGCCATCTCTCCAGCCCCAGATTCTTTCATTTTTCATGGTAGCATTGGGTGGCTTATTATTGTTAATATTTCCAGTTCACAGATGAGGAAGATGAGACTTAGGAAACTTTTAGACTATTTGTCCCATGGACAACAAATTAAGTGACCAAGAAGTCAATTACCTGCTGTTCAGTTCAAATATCTACTGCTTGCCTACCATGTAGGAAATTTTGTAACATGGCATTAATTGAAAAGTCAAATCTATTATACATTGAGAGAAAATTAAACATATTGAACACACACACACACACACACACACACACACACACTAAAGATGTGAGTCTTGAGGGGACATTTTTCATTCAAACCACCACATTCCACTTCCTGACTCCTGTAGGTTCATGGCCATCTCACAATTCAAAATTCACTTAGTTAAACTTAAAAAGTCCCCATAGACCCTCACATGATCACACTGTTTCAAAGTCCAACGACTCTTTTGAGACACAAGGCAGTTTCTTCATTGTGACCTCCATGTAAAAGAAAATATAAATCACATTCTTCAAACACACAATGGCACAGAACATATATTCATAGTCCACTGAGCTGTACATAGCCCAGCCTTTTGCTGTTTTTTTAAAAATGAATTTTGCAAATTTCATACAATATATTTTGATCATATTTAGATTCCCTCTCCTACCTGCACCCCCTTACTACATTGAGAGAAAATTAAACATATTGAAACACACACACACACACACACACACACACACACACACACAAAAGATGTGAGTCTTCGGGGGACATTTTTCATGCCTCCACCAAATTTCCTGTTCTCTCTCTCTTACCTGACGCTGGTATTAGGCCTATGAGGCTGAGGCTAGAATATATATATGCCTATAGAGTCAGGTTTGTGTCCCCAGCTGCCCTTTGGTTTGGGTTCATGCATTGGGGGCTGTCAGCCTCCCAAGAGTCTCATTCTTAAATGAGCCTGCATCTCCCCGTCCCCGCAGTCATCAGTTGCCAATACTTCCTCAGAGAGTTGGGGTTTCCTACTCACTTCACACGTCTGTGCTGGGATTCTGTCTGGCTTGAGCGTAAGTGGAACTTGTGCATGCTGTCACCATTGCTGTGCGCTCGTAGGAGGAACTGACCAGCTGTCTGGAGGACTCTGTGTGGTCATCAGTCTCCACTGGTTCTTGCATTCTTTCTGACCCTGCTGCCACAGTGATCCCTGAGCCTTGGGACGCAGGTGTTTAATGTCGTGGAGCTCTCTGAAGATGAAATAAAAATAGCTGAGAAACACTAAAAAATGTTCAATATCTTTAGTCAGCAGGTAAAGCAAATTAAAACCACCTTGAGATTTCACTGTGTCCCTCTCAGAAAGGCAAAGATTCAAAAAACAGACAAGGGCAAATGCTGGTGCAGATGGGGAGGGAGCACAAGCTCACCCACTGCTGCTGGAAGTGCACAGCGGTGTGGCCAGTGTGGAAAGCAGTTTCAAGATTCTTCAAAAAGCTAGAAATTGCTCTTCCATATGATCTAGCCATACCACTCCTGGGCACATAGCCAAAAGACTCCATCCCCTACTACAGACATACCTGTTCATCCATGTTCATTGCAGCCTTTTTATAACAGCCAGGGATTGGAAACAACCTAGATGCCTATCTACAGATGGATGGGCAATGAAGGTGTGGTACGTATATCCAAAGGAATATCATTCAGCTCTTGAAAAATGCTGTAGGTGTACTAATTGGGCTGGGCACCTCAGGATCACTTTGCATTTAACCAGTTGTGGATCTCTGTAGGAGGCTCTGTTTACTGCATAACAACCTTCTTTGGGGAGGGGTGAGAACCACACTTACCTGTGTGTGTAGAAGTACTTAGAATACAGTTAAAAGCTATACTGTTTTAGGAAAATGGTAATAGCAGGTTCTCCTAAAGCCTCTGTGATCTCTCCAGCCATGTATATTTAGCTAGATTTACAGTACCAACTATCGTGTCCTCCTTTGAACAGACCTTAAGTTCAGTTAGACAGCTTTCAGACACAATGATAACAACATCGACACCACCAACAACAATTAATAAAACCACGGAGGAAAACGCCACTGGGGAGGGAGTCTGTAGCAAGGCCCTGAGAAACTCAGCTTAGAGACAGTCCATGGAGACCACGTACTTCTATCCTTGACTAATTACCCATCATCATTTTCTGGACTTGGACTTTCAGGCAAGGCACATTGGGACTGTGTCCCATTTTACCACCACCCACCTGAGAACCTAAACATGACCATTTTTATTTTTTTCTGTTTTGACAATTGTAAAATGTTCCAGAAGAGGAAATAGTTTTCCAAAGCTTTCTTTGGTCAGTAAGAGGCTGTTGATGTCTGGACTTAGTCCATTCCAGGCTCCAGTGCACTCTCCTGGTCCCTGAGACAAGACAGAGTGGTTTTGTTTTATTATTATTTTGAGGAATCATTTTTAATTTTGGGGAATTTCATGCAATGTGTTTTGATTATATTAGAGGTCCTCCCATATCTGCACCCCCTTTTCTAGCTCCCCCTCAAAATTTCTGTACTTTGGGGCTGGAGAGATGGCTCAGTGGTTAAGAACACTGGTTGTTCTTGCAGAAGACCCAGGCTCGAAACCCTGCACCCACATGGCAGCTAATAACTTTCCATAACCCCAGTTCCAGGGGATCTGACAGTGTCTTCTGTCCTCTGCTGACATTGCATGACACAGGTGCACTTATGTACACGTAAGCAATACATGCATACACATAAAAAAATAAAGAAAATATTTTTTAAAATTCTGTACTGTGTGTGTGTGTGTGTGTGTGTGTGTGTGTGTGTGTATAAAATCAGGTTTGTGTCCCCAAATGCTCTTCAATGTGGGATCATCCACTGGAGCCTGCCAACCTACTAAGTGTCTCACCCTTAAATGAGACTGACTCTCCCCTTCCCAGCAGTCATCGGTTGCCAGTAGCTCCTCAGATATGGCTGGAGTTTCCTTCACAATGTTGATAACATGTATGAATATTTTGTCTGAATGTATGTAAGTGCATCCATGTGTGCAATGCCCACGGAGGCCAGAAGAGGGTCCTCTGGAACTGGAGTAATGTATGCTCATTAGCCATTATGTGGGTGCTGGGAATCAAACCCGGGTCCTCTGCAAGAGCGGCCAGAGCTTCTAACTTCTTGCTGAGCCATTGCTCCAGCTCCCAGAATAAGGAATATTATTAATCAAGGTGTTTTGTGAATTACAGCAAAGTGGGACCATCTCTGTTAGAAGCCTCTGATGCTCTCTGATGACATTCTTAGTATTAGTTTTGATGGACGCTAGTTATTTTTTTTGTAAATTCCAAAAGGATTTTCCCATTCAGCACTGCCAGGTGGGGACCAAGTGTTCATTTATATGACCGTGTGGGGGCATTTCACATTCAAACCACAACAGTTACTTTCTGGTTTCTCCATATATAATCCTCATCTCTATTCCTAAGATACTGTGAGAATTTATGATTAGTGTGTGTGTGTGTGTGTGTGTGTGTGTGCGTACACATATGCCTTTGTTTATTGCTTTTTGCTTCCCCTGTTGTGATGGAAGAAATCAATTGGTTGAAAGGAATGTTGAACTGTTACTATAAGTATGAGGGCAAATGCCACGTGTTCATGGCCTTTAGCTTTTTTACAAATCGCTGGACAATTTGCTGCTACAGTTATCATGTTGTATCTTGTAAAGATAGAAATGTATGATGAAAAAAGCCCCATTAGGGAATCTTGTCACTCTGCAACTATCACAGAGTGTACTCACACAGACTAACACGATGTGATGGCGCCAGGTGATGTAATGTGTGGGACCCACCATCGAGTCTGTCATCAACTGGGATGTCACTTCTTGGTGTGTGAATGTATTTTGTTGAGGATTTTGCTGCTATATTTTTGAGAGACATTGACTTTTCTTTTAAAGAATGTTTTATTTATTATTTTTAATTTTATGAGTATGACTGTATTGCCTGCATGCTTGTAAGTGCACCTGTGTTGTGCAATGCTTGTAGAGGTCAGAAGAAGGCATCAGATCCCCTGGACCTGGGTTATGAATGGTAGTTAACCAACATGTGGGTGCTGGGGTTTGAACTTGGGTCCTCTGCAAGAACAGCCAGTGCTCTTAACCACTGAGCCATCTCTCCAGCCGTATTTTATTTTTTCAAAATGACTGTCTGGTTGTGGTACTAGGATAATTCTAGCCTCACAGCATGAGTTAGATGAAATGCCCCTGGACTTGTATGTCCATCTATTTTGTGGGGTCCATCTGACCTCCATTTGGGACACTCCAGAACAGAAGGGTCTTGTCTGGACCCTCCATATTGTCCCCTTCCCTTTCCCGTGCACAAAGGCCCTGTGCGCTCATGGGCTATAAGAAGCCTTGGAGTGCTGTGTAGTGGAAAAGAGAAATAGGAGCCCGGCAGGTCAGTCCAAATGAACAGAGAGACTGAGCAATCAGGAGGCCATGGCCTTCCCAGAATGACAGGACAGGTAGACCAGATTTCGCCAGCAATTTTCTGACTACTGGTAATCCCTGGTGAAACCAGTCCCCCCACCCAGAAAGCTGGGCTCCTGGCTTGGTAAGGCACTAGGAGAATGTGCAGTGGGAAAGCGTGGGAAAGTGCCCAAGGGGACAGACTGTGGTCAGGAAAGCGGGAACTAAAACTGCTTTCAGATCCCGTCTCACCCCAGTCAGAATGCCTACCATGAGTCACTTATTCTCTGCACTTTGACCAGATGTAGGTCACTGGGCTAACCACAATTTTCTGCAAAAAAGGGCTTCTCAGTCTTGCAACAGTAAGCAATGAGCACAGAGACCCACAAGTGGTCAATATGCAGAGCACGAGCAACTGCAAAGTGCTCAGCTCCAAATGGGACACCCATGTCACGTTCTTCTCCCCAAGGCTCAGGGATTTTTGAGGAAGATGGGGAAGAAAGATTCTAAGAACCACAGAACTGCAAGAAAGTAGTTTCCCAGTTAGCAGGGCAGGTGCACATACGAACTCACAGGAATTGTGACAGCATGCACATGCTTTTCACAGTCTTAAGTCATACAAGATCTCAACATGGAGGGGGTAGGCAGGCATGAAGTCCCACACCTAGCTATGGAGCTATCGGTATTTGGTAGCTGCTGGGACAGCAAGTCTTTAAGGGTGTGACCCCTTGGTAGATCAACAACAAACCAGCGCAGGCGCCACTACCAAGAATGTTTGGACAATGCGTGTTGACTCCACGGGGAAAAGCAGACATGGAATCGGATGGGTAGTGAGGTGGGGGTGGATCTTGGAGGAGCTGGTGTGGGGAGAATAGGACAAAAACGCACTCCATCATTAAAATTATCATTTGATTTAAAACAGCCTTTCCTAGCGCCACTCTGGGTCCTCATCTGATTGAGTTGGCATGGGTCTTGTGTTCGAGATCACCACTGACACACGTTCACATGGGCCAGCCTAGCCTGAGAACTCTTGGAAACTGATTATTGCTGGATGAGAGAGAGCAGATCTTCCTTAAGATCTCTAGACAGGCTGACTAGACTCCAGTGGATGAACTGGAACCGAAGGACACCCGAGTAAATTGCTTGACTAGATGGGACCTAATATGTGTGGCAAAATACACGAGGCCTGGTGGGAGGGGTGTAGGAGCACGGATGGGGGGCGGGGGTCTCAATTTGATTAAGAACTGTTGTATGAAATGTACAAAAGCGCAGTGAAAGTATTTCTAGAAATCCTTTCCTTCTGTTTAGTTTTTCATTATACCTACTGACTATTGAGAAATGTGCTTTATTTCCAAAATATGGGATATAAACTCTGAGTGCAGTGAGGTTCCAACAAGTTCCCAGAATCTTCTAGATGCTTGTGTTAGCCATCTTGGGAGGCTGAGGGTCATCACTCTGTCCCTGGAAACAGCATGTGGGTGAGTTGGGGCCAGAGCAGCACACACACTGGGATCCTTTGTGCTCCCCTGCCTAGGAGGAAGGAGGTGCAGCTGTCCCTTGTCTGAGTGTCATGTTGCACAGCTGGGCATAGGTCACATCCTGAGGCTCCTCGGATGTATTAGGCTGGAATACGAGATTGAGAGGAAGGTACATGCTTGGTATTGGGAACTTGGGGGCCTGGGGAAAACATGACCCACCTGTCTGTCCATCTCTCTATCCTCTCCTGACTGGCCATCCTTCATGTCCAGGAATTCCCTTGACATGGCAGCTCCTGTCCTCTTGATCCTGGAGGGTTTTACCTGGGCAAATGTCTCCCCCTGGGTGTGTTCCTCAGTCTGGCTCTGCAGCAGGGAGGCCATGAGACAGTGACACTATGTCCTGGTTTCCCTGAAGAGCTCCAGCCAGGTTTCCACAGGGAGGCCAGAGTCATCCTTGAGACATTTAAATCCACTATGGCATTCAGGATGGGATCTTTAGGGAATTCTGTCCTACAGTTGTGGCCTCTTATCCTGACACTCTGACTCCTGGTGATTTGGACCCAGCTACATGGCTCATCTTGAAAGAATATGATCCTGTGTCAGGACCACGGTCCCCGCTTTACCCTGTGCCTGCATGTGCTGGTCCGTTAGATGTCTGCCTGGGCCTCTCCATCCAGGCTTCCCCTCAGAGGACACCTTTCCAGAGCTCCCCTTCTAATTCCCACTGGCCATATCTGCCCCCCACACCCCACCCCTTCTCTGTTTTATTTTCCCTAAAACACACACACTGCACACACTCTATTTGTACGTTGTCTTAGGGCATCTGGGAGCTTGCTTGCTGCCCCACTGCAGTGTGTACAGGGGGCCTGGTCAGGACGGAGCTCCTGGTGGACAGCTGGGTGAATGAGTGGGATGTGGGGACATTGGGGACGTGGAGACTCATTTGATCATGTATTCTGAGAGCCCCAAAGCATGCTGACATCCACACAGATGCAGAGGAGCCAGAAAGGGGACAGGAGGGCGTGGCCACATGTTCCCAGGAAACCCAGGAGTGAGCCATAGTGCGAAGGAGACAGAAAGGAGGGTCAGCTGTGGGTTCACTGAGCGCTGAGCGAGGAGGACAGAGAAGGTCCCCTGCACTAAACCTGGCTGTGTGTTCTTAGGGCTGTGGATGGGGACAGGGGTCTCACCCGACTGTCCAGCTCTATGTTGTCCTCAGGCTGTGTGTCCTTTACAGCTGCATCTATCATGGCAGAATGAACACACAGTCTCCTGGCTAGAGTCCCAGGATCTCTCAGTCCCCCCAGATCCCTGCCCTGTTCCACATGGGACAGAACTAGAGAGTGTGGTGATGTCTGTAGACCCAAAGTGTGCTGACCACAGACCGACCCTACTACCCCCATGATACCAAGACACTGGGCATCTCCCTCCCCAGGGCCCTGTTCCTCTCACACAGGTTTTCTTCCTGGATGGCAGCAACTGGGTTGGATCTGGAGGGGCAATGGGGTGTCAGATGGCAGTGAGGGGTGGCAGGCGGGTGGAATTTTGGGTCCCTGGGCATGAGTCACCTCTCCTGCGGACCTCTGCCCTTGGGTAGTGGCTCTGCAGCCTCTGTAGAAAGTTGCAGGTTGGTTCTTCTCTGGACTGCAGGAGGGAAAAGAGTCTCAGCCAGGAGGGATGAGCACTCCCTCCTCACCCCCCAGCACCTGCGGGGGAAGGAAGGAAACTTGACACCACATGGGGAAGTGTGCAGACAGATCACAGGATACCTGACATTTGCACAAGATCATGTGTTTCTGGTCTGAGATTCTGCAGAAGTGTTTCTAGGCTGACCTGCCCTAGTCTGACTGGTTTCCCTGAGCCTGGTGCCCTGAACTCCTGTTTGGATGACCCACAAGGGCACCTGCCACCTTCTGAGCCCAAGGCCAATCACATCCTATGTCGAACTCACCCTCTTTCCTGTGGTTGTGCTGTTGCCTGTATCGAAGGAGGAAGATGAGGATGAGGAGGAAAAGCAGCAGAGGGAAGACCACTGAGACCCCGATCAGAATCTTCTGGTACCTTTCCAGTCCTGGGGCACATGTGACATCATGAATGAGGGATGCTGCTGCTTACCTGAGCACCTACTGTGTGCCAGGCCCATACCTGGTCTTTGTATTCACCACCTCCTGTACTCACAACTATGTAACATGGGATGACACCTCCAGCCAAGTCAGTTCCCTGCCCCAGATCACCCAGGAGGAAGGCTGGGGTTGAACCAGGGAAATCTGACTTTCAGGAGTGTCTCCTCCACCAGAGCTGAACCCCGTGAGCCAGAGGGAAGGAACCTGAATGCCCTGTACCCGACCCCTGCACGATGTCAGCATCTTGTTATCAGAGTGGACAAGTGCACCATCTTGCCACTCTGAGAAACTGAGACACACTTGGGGGGAGGGGCTTGTCCAATTTAGCATCTCCAGAAGAGGCTGCATCAACCCCACAACTACCTCTTGTCCCAGTGAACCCACCTTTCAACAGAGTCATTATTTAGCAGTCTAGGGGACTGCTCCATTGAGGGGCAATTCTCAAAGCCTCATGGTGGGTAGGGAAGGTGAGAGTCAGGACTCTCCACTCTCCACCTCAACCAAGCTCCTTAAACCCCAGCCTGCACCCAAACATTTTTTTTTGCCTGGATGGACCCTCCTGAAACCCAGCCTCCAAGACTCTGGGCTTCTGGGGTCTCTAGGCTCCTGGATACAAGCTTAGTTCACACAGCACTTGGAGGGTCTGCAGGCAGCTTGGGGATGGAGCAAAGTCCCTGGACAGAAGCCCTTCACACTCACCAGCTGTTGGGATGGGTCCTGTGAGTTACGTGCTGCTGTTCCCAGAGGATCCTGGGAAAGAAGAAGGTAAGAGACAAGAGTCTGACCACAGAGATGCATTTACGGTTCACCCTCCTACGTCTGCCCTGTGGCCTCTGCAAGAATCTTCTGCCCATCTGGAAACTTCTGGATTCCAATGAAGGATGTGGGGTGGGTATTCTTTGAGGAACTCCCACTGGTCTCCAGCTCTCTGAGGGGTGAGTCTCCTGACTGAGTCTTCCTATGACCTCTAAACCCATCCTAGCCAAGGGCTCTCTTGGGGGTTGGATCCCGAGTCACCCTTTGAGCTCATGAGGTCAGGGTCCTCTCACCTGAAGTTGCAAACTTCACAGGGTCACTGGGGTATGACAACAGGTAGGGGGACGAGCTTCGAGAACCATAGCACCTGTAGGTCCCTCCGAAGGCCAAGGTCACAGTGCTCATGGAGAATTCTGCCTGGAACTGCCCAGCTTGTAACACTGAGTTTAGATGCAGGGGTGGATGGGCTGCTCCCTCCTTGGTCAGAAAGAAAGAGTCCACCTGGCTCTGTGACTGACACACCAGGGTCACGTTCTCTCCTGAGGACACTGTGGGGCCTGTTTGCACTGAGAGGGAGGGTGTGAAAGGGAGCTGTCCTAGAGAGAAGAGGGATGGCCGAAGGACTACCCACTGTGTTCTGAGCTGAGACCACACCACAGCCTCATTCTGAAGACCTGGGTCTCTCTGTTTTATCCTTTCTGCTTTCCCTATGTTCCCCTGTCTGTGTTCCTGTTCCTCACTGGGGCCCTCAACCCTCTTCCTGGGGATCAATCCCTGGGCTCCTCTAGCAAAGACAGAGTCTGGGACCCTGACTCAATCCACCGGGCTCCTCACCTGCAATCAGGATGTCCATAGGCTCACTGGGGGTTGACCACTCAGGGGAGAAGCCTTGTGCACCATAACACTTGTACCGTCCTCCAGTGGTGCCCTTCACAGGGCCCAGTAGGAAGTCAGCGAGAAAAAGACCAGCCTGTGGGTGTTGGCGGGACTCTGGAGGAGGTCAGTTTCCTTCTCTTTCAAAAGAGCAAATCTATTGTACAATCCACCGGGCTCCTCACCTGCAATCAGGATGTCCGTAGGCTCACTGGGGGTTGACCACTCAGGGCCCAGTAGGAAGTCAGCGAGAAAAAGACCAGCCTGTGGGTGTCGGCAGGACTCTGGAGGAGGTCAGTTTCCTTCTCTTTCAAAAGAGCAAATCTATTGTAGCTGATGTCAGAGCAATACTGGAGGGTCAGGAACTGTCCAGGGGCCAGGATAGGTCCTGGATGGATCAGCAGGGAGGGCTTCTTTGACTGGCCTGGAGGGAAGATGGACTCCTGGGTAAGGATCTGGCTCCTGCCATACACTTGCCACTTCCTTTCCTGCCCTGTCGGGGTCTCTCACTCTGTGGGAATCTGGCTCAGGAGCAGGGAGTTTTTTCGGCCATATTTTTACCTGGGACTCCCCTGAGAGAAGGTCTGATAGGAAAGTCTTAGGGTCTCAATCGTGACTGTATCAATGATGGGGCTTACTTACCTGAGACATATATTTCCAAAGGGTCACTGGGTTCAGACCACACTTTTGGGTTTCTGTTATAATAGCCATAACATCTGAAGATTTTAATGCTGCTGGGGGTCATAGGGAATAGAGCCTGAAACTGCCCAGTGGATGCATGCTGTGAGTCCAGGGACATGTAGATACTCTGTTTTCCTTCCTCAGTCAGAACGAATCTGTCATATCCATGTCGTGAGACACACCGGAGGGTCACATTCTCCCCTGAGGTCACTACAGGGCTGGGCAGGTCTGATAGCCATGGTTGACTTTTGTTGCCTGCCAGGACAGAAGGAATCAGTGTTAAATGGAGTCACACCTCCCACATTATATCGTAGGTTGCGAGAAGAGATACCCTTAATATCAGACCCCTTTCCTGAAGGCAGAATCTGGAGATGGGGACCCCTATATGTCCCCTCACCTATCATCACCAGATCCAGGGTGTCACTGCACTCTGTCCATCCAGCAGATCTGTAATAGTAACAACAGTATCGCCCTGTGTTTTGCTCTGTCATGGATCGGATGGAGAACTTGGCCTCGTTCCCCGGGCTTCTGTGGGGTCTGTATGATCCAGGGTGCTGGGTCTCCCTCTTTATGTAGAACATATGTTTAGGCCTCCATGGTCCTGACACACCAGATGGTCACAGGATTCCCTGAGGTGACCAGAAAGTGTGGTTCAGCCGAGATGCTGGGTTTGTAGATGGTCCCTGTAAAGAAGTGGGTGAGGAGATGAGTCTGTTTGAACAGTGGCATAGAGGAGGTCACACTTAGAGATAATGCTGAAGCTAACCCAGAACAGGAGAAAATCCAGTGGACCTATGAAGACCAAGTCCTTTCCTTTACTCCTGGTTTCACTCTTACTGTCTCCCCGTGGCGTCTGCATCTCAGGTCCCACTGGCTCCTACAGTCTGCATTAACTGGCTGGCTCCTGGAATCCTGGCTCCCCTCACCTATCACACACCAGGGTCTCTCCTGGGAAGTAGTGTCAGGTCTAGAGTCATTTAAGGGCTAATCTGAGGCTTCCTTACCTGAGATCAGGAGCTCCAGGGGGTCACTGGGTTCTGACCACAGCTGTGGGCTCCTCAGGTTATAGCCGTAGCATCTGAGCCTCCACTTGTGGCTGGGGGCCACAGGGCCCACAGAGAACAGGGCCTGGTACTCCCCACTGGATGTAGAACTTGGGTTCAGGGTCCAGGAGAGCTCCTGTGGTCCTTCCTTCTGCAGCACGAATCTGTCATATCGCTGTCTTGAGACACAGTGGAGGGCGATGTTCCCTCCCAAAGCTACCACAGGGCTGTGCTGGACTGAGAGGCTGGGTTTGCTGTAGTAGAACCCTAGGAGAGGATACAGAGGGTTAAACGAACTCACACAGCCCACACTGGACTCCATGGATAAACTGTGAGAAGGGGACACCCCTGAGAGCAGACTCCTTTCCTGAGAGCAAATTCCTGGATGTCTTCTCACCTGTCACCAGTAGGTCCAGGCTGTCCCTACGCTCTGACTAGGCAGCGGGAGTCTGATAGTCACAATGGTATCGCCCGCATGACTCCATTCGTTGTGTGGGGTGGAGAACTCAGCCTTGTTTCCAGGCTCCAGTGGGGTCTGTGTGTTCCAGGTATCTGATTCTCCCTCTTTAAGGAGACGGTACTCTAGGGCCCCCGAGGTCCCCTCACATAAGATGGTCACCTGTATCCCTTTGGTGACCACAGAGCCAGGCTCAGCCCTGAATGTGGGCTCGGGAAGGTTCCCTTCAAAGAAATCAGAGGCTGGGTCACAGGACATCCTCCCTTAAATCCCAGCTCTCAGCCCCGGGACCCTGTTGAATTTCCCCAGCATCAGCCACACTGGCTGTTCTCTGTCTCCAATGCCCACAGGTGACCCATTGTCCTCAGTGAGGTGGACTTATCTGTAACAGCTGGGGACACACTCACCTGCCAGCACCGGGGTCCTGAGGCTCAGACTCAGTCCTGGAAGAGAGTTCTCTGTGAGAGGTTTTCCCTGAAGCCTGAGCAGGTCCTCCCCTCCTTGTTGCCTCTGAGTCCCCGAGATGACTTGGTTGTACAAGGTCTGGCTGTGGGTGTTCCTTCCCCTGTTTCACATCTCACCGAGGCAGAGCAGGGCTGTGAAGATGGGAGTCATGGCATCTCTTCCTTGTGGAGGCAATGTTGCAAATGGCTGGGGACCGTGCCTTTCCCAGTGGGCAGACACACAGGGTGTGGCCTTTGGAGGCTGGGTCCTCCTTCCTGTCATGAGGCTGTCACCTCAGCAGCCACACGGGAACCGGAACTGTCCTTCCCAGGAGCTCTGTTTTTCCCAGTGCTGTGGCTTGAACAAACTTCAAACCCTCTGTTCTTTCTTTCTTTCTTTCTTTCTTTCTTTCTTTCTTTCTTTCTTTCTTTCTTTCTTTCTTTCTTTCTCTCTCTCTCTCTCTCTCTCTCTCTCTCTCTCTCTCCTTTTTTTGAGAGGGTCTCACTATGTAGCCCTATGTGACCCTAGCATCCTCGAACTCCTTATGTGGACCAGGATGGCCTTGAACTCACGACTTTCATCCTTGCCTTTACCTCTCCAATGATAGGATGAAACATGGGAACCACCACACAGACTTTTTTTTGTTTTTAAAGGCAGAGCTTCATGAAGCCCAGGGAATTGTCAAGTTCCTGGTTTTCCTCCTTCACCTCCTGTGTGCTGGGACTGTAGGCACATGCCTGGTTGCAGTCTCTTCTTACGGAAGGACGAGGCATCCCCCTGAAACCCGTCCACATCTGCTGGAACTGTCTCCATGCCACCAAAAGTCAAGAGTTAGCACCAAACAGACCAAGTGCCTTTCCGAGCCAGGACCTTCCAACTGTGAGTGGTTCAGGTCTGGTCCTCCTCTCTCAGAGCCTGTGCACTGGGTCTCCTTCCCTCCTTCCACCTGACCATTGTCACAGCGTTGTGGGGTCCTTCCCGTGGTCAGTTATCTCCCCAGCCCTGGAGATGCTATGGGGATGTTGTGTGAACATTTTCTGAAGACAGGAACAAAGCTGTTTTCTCCAGATAGGGCAGAAATGACAGAAAGAAAGAATCGATTCCCCACAAGTCCGGCTTGGTGAAAGAATAAGGTTCAGTGTCTGGGGCTTATAACTGCAGCACACTTTGCTTGAAGTACAAAGTACTCAACTCACAAATTGCATTATTACGTATCCTGCTGTGGAGAATGGAGCCTCAGCCAAACCCTGAAGCATTATCTAAGCTGTCCATTCACCTGCACCCAGTCATCTTGATCATTAATGAAAATTGTTCACGAGAGAGTCAGAGTCAGTTTTCTCACCCGGTGCTCTGTTATGATGAACGACCCATGTGAAGATGGATCTGTGTCTCTTAGATTTAGCTTCAGGCTATTTCCTTTTCATGTTCAATGGTATAAGTTTGCACACTAGAAAGATTTTCTAATTCAGCATCATCTAGGTGAGGAGGCCCAGGACATACACACTTCCCATGTGTTTCACAGAGAAGGAAATGGAGGTCAATTTCTGTTCTCCTCTTTAGTTCCTGAGCCCATGAATTCTACAAATCAAAAGAACATTATTGATCAACCCTGGCTCTTACAATCTTTCTGAAATGGTTCCTGAGCGATGGGTGGGAAAGGTTTGATACAGGAGTCCTATCCGGTGGCATACACTCTGCAGTCTCTTATTCTTTAACAGTTGGCCAGTTGTGACCTTTTGTGTGCATCACACTCTGTTGTACAAGGAGGCTTCACTGGTGAGAGTTGAGGTTGGTTCATGAACATGGGAAAGCACAGGCTTTCAGGCTACTGGAACCTTGCACACATGAACTTGCAGCAATGGTGGCATTGGGCACAGGACCCGTGCCAATTCAATCAGACAGGGTCCAAAGTGAAGCAAGGGAAATGGATAGTGGGTTGGCCCTGGTCTGGGAACTATTGGAGACTGATTGCTATTGGGTGAGTATGCTAGATAGCTTTAGTGTCAACTTGACACACCTGGGTTGAGGGAGCCTCAATTGGGGAATTGCCTTCATTGGACTGGCCTGTGGCCATGTCCATGGGGAACCTTCTTGATTGCTGAGTGATGTGGGAGGGCCCAGCCCACTGTGGGTGGTGCCACCAGGGGCCAGGAGAGCAAGTCAGTAAGCAGCATTCCTCCATGTCCTGTGATCCAGCTCCTGCTTCCAGGTTCCTGCCCTGAGTTCCTACCTTGGGCTCCCTAATGAACTGTGACCTGGGAGATCTAAGATAAATAAACCCTTTCCGCCCCAAGTTGGTAGAGCTCAGAGTGTTTTGTCATAGCAATGGAGAAACAAACTAAGACAGAAATTGGTACCAGAAAGTGGGGTATTGAGTGACAGACCTGACCCAGTTGTTTTGGGGAGGACTGTAGAAGTGTTTGGAACTTTTGGCTGGAAAAGCCATTCAGTGCTCAGAGTTTGTTGTTGCGGCACTTGGAACAGTTATATTGAAAGAGTTGTGGACAATGGAGGCCTGGCTTGTGAAGCTTCAAAGGGAAGCAGAGACCATCAGGGCTCTTCGTGTGAGATTTTGGATTGAGAATCTGTGGGTTCTGGTCGGCTGGGGCTGAAGAATCAGCTGTGATTAAGTAGAGACCAGAACATGAAGCAAACCCTTTGCTTTACTGGGGCAATTGATTGATGCTGGTTAGCTGGGGCTGAAAAATCAGCTGTAAGTAACAAGAGACCATCATCACTGAGGTGAAATCTTCTGGGAGGTATTTCCTCAGGGTCAGCACACAGAGGGGACCAGAGCCTCCATCTCAAGTTAGAAGCAGGACTTGGTAATGTATGAGAGTCTCCTGCATGGTTCTGGTGAGGTGAAAGCATGAAGGGGTCATAGAGAGCAGCTGAGGCTTGGCACTGTGAGAGGCCAGGAAAGGCCATAGGTGAAAGTGCAGCTTCAGTTGCAGTGAAGACCCCAGGATTGAAGGGGTCATGGAGAGAATCTGAAGCTTTGCACCCCAAGAGACAAGAAGAGGCCATTGGTGAAGGTGTAGCCTCAGTTTCTGTGGAGTTCCCAGGTTTTTGGAGATGCTGGGACCATGGGATGACCACCAAAGACAGCTGTAGGTGTGAAATGGAGCTGGACTGGGTCTGCAAGATGAGCTGTGTGTGCTGTGGACGGCAGAGTCGGAGAAATGGAGCTGCCAGAACCCTTTGGAGCCCAGAGATGGTGAGTGAATCCCAGATGTCCAGCCTTGAGCTACTTTGCTGGACTTTGGTTTTGCTTAGGTTTGCCCGATTCTTCCCTTTGAAATAAGACAGTACTTGTATTGGATTTTACAGATGCCTACCCACAGTTAAGAGACTTTTAAAAGAGACTATGAACTTTTAGGTGTTTGGATTTTTTTTTTTTTTTAGTTTTTCTCTCCTCTCGTGCTTTATTTTTCTTTTCTTTTTTAAAAATTATTTATTTAATAACCACATAATTAGAAGATGGATTCATTACAACAGCATTGACATATTCAATCACAATTTCCAGAGCTAAGATGATCCACTGAGTCTAGTCAGCCTATCTATAGTTCCTTGTTTTAGCAAGATCAGCTCTTCCTCATCTAGCAGTAAACAGTTGTCAATATTCCTTTAGATAAGATTGGGGTCTGCTGTTCATTTTCCAATAAAAAAGATCTCCATTTCATTATTAAAATACACAGTTTCATACCAGAAACATTAATTTTAACGCAATTGACACTAAGATGTTTGTACATGTGTTTCTGATCTCTATATATCTGATTATTACTAGTCACAGTTGGTTACTTTCTGAGCTCCTTGGTATCTGAGCATGGATATAAAGTCATCAGGTAGATTTCAGTGGTAAGGTTTTTCACATCTACTAATTATTAAAGAGAAAATTTTTATGCTTCCAAGAATTATTATTCTTTTTAAATTATGTTTTAAATTTAATAACCACATGATTAGAGGAAGCATTTCATTACAGCTTTAACATATTCAGTAACACACTCTAGAGCAAGGATAAATCTCTTTCAAAAGTGGCTGTAAATTTCCAGGTTCACAGATGAATTAATACAGTTATACAATACTGAACTCAGTATAAGCCCTGTAAGACATAAAATTGAATGAGTTTTTAACCTTTAAAAAAGATCTCCATTTCATTTTAGAATATATTGTTCCTTACAGAAAGACTCATTGTTTTTGCTACTAACACTGAGATGTTGGTGCATGCATCTCTAGTCTGTATGTGTCTGATTATTACTAGTCATAATCAGTTGCACTTGGTTCCTTGGTGCCTGTGTATGTCTGTAAAGTCAATGGGTAGATTTCACTGGTAATGTTTATCCCCTCTACTATTTAACATGATGTAAATTTTTATGTTTCCTCCTCAAATGTAATACATTAAATTTTTTTTGATTTTTTTGTGTGTATATCACACATAACATCCCAAACCATCTTATTCAACTATAGACCCACTTCCCAGATGGCACCCACCCATAGCCTTCCTCCCCCAACTAGAGCCCTTATACTCTGATATCCCTGCTACTTCATTCTGCTTGTGAGACATTCTCCTGTTCTTTCTAATTGATTTATTGAATCTTTCAGTCCTGTGCTCATTTCCATTTGGGTTTTCTTCACTATTTCTATCTCTTTAGTGTATTTACTTTTCAAATTACGATTTTTTTATATTT